ATATCGATTTTTAGATATTCCACTCGAACAACGGTTTTGCTACCCAACTCAAAGTCGACAAGAATTTTAAATTCATCGATATGGCATGTGAATAATAAAAACTTTCACAGAAACAACTTGTCATTAGTTTTACCCAATTACTTTGGCAATTATTCAGGTTTTGTTGCTCTAAATTGCATTAGTAGATTGGTTTGAAAAATTAATAATTAATGAGCTGTCCTTTTTTTTTTTTTAAAAACTTTGTTATTTGAGTGTACCTTTTTGTTAATATGGTATGTATGCTCAGATTTGTGGCATTTTTAAAATACATTTTTCATCGGATGCCCATCATCTGTCCATCCAACTATCAGTCCAAAAAAGAATGGCCAAGCAATGCGATTGCTTTTCAAGGCATTTGATTGACATTCAGGAATGCTTCTCTTTGAAGAACTTGGCATACTTAGCACCCGCCCCCTTTTTTTTCTAGGACCAACTTTCGGGGCAAATTCGAATAAAAAAGGGGACAACTGGCGAATCTGGCGAGGGTCTTGCCACGAAAAGAGCTATTGAAAAGGGGGGACTGAAAAGTACAGGCTGACATGAAATTAATGATGACCAGACAGTGGATTTTTAATTTTGAAGGAGCCTAGCAGGAGCTTTAATATTAATGGCACTGACAGGACGCAGGGCATGCAGACACACGCACGTCAGGATAACGACTCTGGCGCTGACAGTAAGCCCCCACTTTGATGGCTTTGTCATGAAAGACAGAAGGACGTGCCACAAGTAGCATTCCAACATTATGGCACCAAATGTACCCTTCACACAAGGATTTTCACCTTGATTCGCTGCTCAAGGATTGCAAATTTAAGAGGCGGTTGTTAAGAGTTTTTGATGTGTTATGAATTTAACAGCTGATTGCTTAGGTTTCCTTCATACATATGTTATAATAATAAAGATGGATTCATATCATAAGGTATGAATTTGACAAATTTTAAAACGTAATAACCTGCACAACGTTTCTTTGCTTTTTTAAGATCTACAATTTGTTGTTTAGGCCTCCTTTCGATATATATTTAATATTTAATAAAATTAATTCATAGAATAAGGTTTTACTTCTTTAAATTTGAGGAATTTTAAATATTATCTGTGATTAATACATATTTTATCATTTACTAAAACAACATTTAAGCACAAAAAGGATATTAAAGCAATTGTAACAAATAAATTGTGTTAATAATTATTTAAAAGGTATATAAATTAAGCCATGACAAATGACTGCAAAACCATTACTAATTTAGTTCTTTAAGCCCTACCAACAAACAACAGTTAGTATTAGTAATTGGACAAACTTTGTTTAGGACTAGGATGTCCTTTAGTGCCAACATTGCCCCAAAGTCGCCGAGAAGTTGGCAATACTTTGAGGCCAGTGCTTTTGCACACACGTGCGCCACACAGACGCACGAGCACTCACACACACACACACACACACACACACACAGACACACACACACGCAGGACTTTCCATTTGACCTCTGTTACTTTTACTGTCAACGGGGCGTGCACGGTCGCAAGTCCTTTGGGGTGGACCAGCCCAATAGGCAACAGACAGACTTTCAAAAACCCATATGTCAATCACCTAAATTTGCACTTGTTGAACGGCAAATGGAACCATTAATTACTTGCATTTTTGCTTTTCTTATGGACTTGGGAAAAAAGTTCAAAAGTCTTTGAGAAAAAAGGATAGCCAATTAAACTCAATTGAAACTTAAAAAAAACATAATCTACTAAAATTAAAAAATATTTTGAAAAGTAATTTGTTTTTAAAATATATCATATCATCAGCAATTTTCTTTTTGTTAAGAATATTCAACAAAATGGCAAATCTATTCTTTTTTCCACATAAATATATTAGTTGAAGACTGTGACAAACTTAAAAAAAAAACATTTCAACTCTGGAACCTAAAATAATATTTAATGCAGACTTTTTAATAAAAGAAATATAAAGGACTACTGGATTTTCATTTATAAAAGTCAAACGGAAAACTCTTTCACAAAACGAGACACAAATCAAACAAATTGAATACGAAATAGTATAACAATCCTAGTAAAAAAAAAAGTTTTATATAACCAGTATATTGATTAAAGTATATTTATCATAAAACTTGAGTCCGACATTGAGCCAGAAGTCAACCAAGTCAAAACACTTGGAGGCCCACAGCTTACAGTTCACAGCTCACAGTCCACAGTCCACAGTCTACAGCTCATGGCTCTTGGCATTTAGCTAATACCATAATTGAGCAATTGATGATGGCCACATCATCATCAACAACATCACACCGCCATGCGGCCAAGTCCACGTCATCGTGAATGGAATGGAATGGAATGGATGGGCGAAATGGGGGTGGCAAGGCCGGCCAGGCGAAACATAAACACACGCCCACGTCTTGACTACTACGGCATTCCGAATGGCCGCATTTCGCTGCCACATCGATGCGACCAATCGGAGTTCATTCATAAAAGTTTTACGCCCGTCGTATCCCAGTTCATATCTTGGGGGAACCCCCGCTGCACGTAATTCCCAGAACTCCGGAGCACTGGACTTACGGACTGCTAACCAGGGACTCCCGAGAGTATAATGACCGAGCACAGAGCCACAGGATGCCCGTCTGGCGCATAAGATACCGATATCACTAGGCATTAAACAGCCGACCATATAAATCTAGAAACAGCCATGGAAAAAGCTAGACAAAAAACAACTATACTTTTATGTTTTAAATCCTTCGATTGCGATCGTTATATAGACGGATTTTAAAAATAAATGGATAAACACAACCAATATAGATGCAGGATATTTTCTAAAATTTATCAACAATTTTAAGATATTTTCTTAGATTTAAATTTTAATAATCAATATTAGTTCAATACATTTTAAAAGGCATGAGTGCAAAAAACTTAATGCCAGAAGTTATCACAGACTGCAAATAACATAAATATATAATTTAAAAAAAGAATATGTATTAAAAACTAAAAAGAAAATAACTGTTTGAGGTAGCTACGCTACGCTTAATAAAATTACAAAAGTTGAATATAAATCATAAAGCTTATTAACAAGACACTTGCTTGAATTTTAATAAAATAACAGCTAGCCTAACTAAAACAAAGTTAAACTAATTATTTCAAAATCATTTAACATGCTGTGAACACAAGAGGAAACATGGCCAAAAGGCCAAAAGTCAGGGCCAAACAGTAGCTGTTCAGCTTAATGAAATATAAAATGAAATGTTGAAATGATGAAATGATGAAATAAGGAAAGCAATTAAGCAAGTTTACCTGTTGTCTTAATCAAACTAAGAGCACTTGCTGTTGAGGCAAGACTTGTACTCCAACCACTAAAATGGAGCTTATCCCAAACGCAAACGTACAAGTATAAATTGTGCAAAAAGGACGAAAATAAAACAAAACGACCGTGCTAATGCCGTGTCCTTGACTGTGTGTGTGTGCCTTCCTAGTTAAAGCAGTTGCTTTGCATTGACTGGCAGGGATTAGGATTACCGGGAAATGCAGAAATTCTCCATCTGTGGATGGCCACAAAACCACGCACAACCCGGCCATCACCCACTTGGCAAAATCGTGCTGCCGTCCTGCACACCTGAATGAAATATATACATATACATTTGTATGGAGCTTTCATCGCTTTAGCCGATGCGCGCAGGCGGAGTCACGAAATTCTTGCGAAATTATGAAATATGAATGGCTATGGACGACTGCTGGAATGGACGACTTCTGGCTCACGTGTGCACATCCTTCACCAGGGTGTTCGTGTATCGTAGTTGCAGCAACAATTTTAAGGTGTGTTAATATAAAATATAGGGAACAAAGTTATAAGTTTACTTAAAGAGTCTCTACTCTAACCGTTGACTATTCGGGATTTTATGTGTGCTTTTCAGGGAAATAGCGTTCAAGAAAAAGGACCTTAATGCCCTCTAGATGGTTTTAAAGCTCATCTGTTATTTGTAATGTCAACCATTTGCTTAATTTAATTTAAAATAATTTATAATATTAAGTTCTTTTTGCAACAATGTTATATGTTTATTCATTTGCCTATATTTTTAATGTTATTCGGTATCATCGCTCTATAAATATTTGGCATACGTATTATTTGAACAAACAAAACTATGTCGTAAATTATGAATCATTGACATTATATTTGTATTAAAATTTCGCTGTACTCTTTGCTAAACAAACATTGTTTACCATTCGCAATAAATGAAAACTACGCCGTTGTGTTAAAGCAATAACAATGACAGCCAACGGGTTTAAATGCGTATTACCCATACGCCCCGTTGCCCGTGCTTAAAATTATTTAACTACAAGAAGTATTTAACATCCACATACTTTTGTAAATTACAAAAAATGATTTTAAAATCGTTCCAGTGCTAAAAACGTATTTGCTTTATTTATATAGATATAAGTGACTTTATGAAAATACACATTTTTAAGTATAATCTTAAATGTGTGAAATCAAGCCAATTGAAAAAAACTTTACAAATGTTAAATAATTCTTTAGAATAACAAGATAAATATACTTTGCTTAGGACTGTTAAGCTTGCGGGAATAAAATAATTAACAAGAAGAAAAATACATCAATCAAAAGAGAGATTTTTATGGCACGTAAAAATTAGTATAACATAATTTTTTCATGAAAAAACAAATACAAATTTACTTATTTAAGATCTTAAAATTGAGTTGTTAATTTGCTCGTATCTGGAAATTGGTTTTCAATCCACTTTTCAATAGCAGGTTGATTTACTTGTTTTAAGATTAAATTAGGCAATACTTTAGCTTTTTAGAGAGGACTAAATGGCGCTTTAAAATAAGTTAAGGTTGTTTTTTACGTGAAAAACATGCAGCTTAAAATCAAATAGAGGAAAAAGCCTTAGACACCCTGGCGTATAGACAGATAATTTTTGGGTTTTCTTTTTGAGGGGTGGGGTTAGGGGGGCGATCAGTTTTATTACCTGCACTGGTTTGCACCATTTCGCAGGAGAAGCGTTCTGGCTGCGCGTGGGCGTGTGTTTGGGAATTGCGGAGATTGCCCAAAGCTTTTCGCCGTAACTCCGGTCCTCTTCACGCGCGCGTAAAATGTATTTCGTAGATTTGTATTTGTTTTTCGTATGCCGACGCCAGCAGAGAGCAAAGTATCGCCTATGGCAGCCTGCGTTTTCCTCCTCGATTTTCCTTGCTATTCCTCGCTTTTCCACGCGTTTCCTACTCACATTCGCACAACTAGTTGCTGTCCTTTATAAATAATTTGGCTGCTGTAGCCGGTGTGGGGGGTGAGGGGGGTGGTTGGGCAGAGACGTTTGCCTGCCGCTCGCCCATCGGATTCACTAGCTCACCACTGACTCACTGACCAACTGAACACTGGTTAACCAAGAGCACTCAGCACAAAAAAAAAAACAAAACAGGGCCAGACACACTCGGCAGCAAGTCGGAGGTTTTCCCAGGCAGTGGCAGAGCGCGTCGTGTGCACCCGACCAACTCCGCAGTGAAACTGAAGCGGAAACTGAAACTGAAACCGAAATGGAAGCCGAAACGGAAGACGGCAACGGCAACATCGACGGCAGCAACATGAGCCTTGGCATCCAGCAACATCAGTGCAGACAGCAGGAATAGGAGCAACTACAGCAATTTTGCAAGGAGTATTACGCAAAAATACCCTAAAAACATAAAATTATACTTATTTTAAATTGGTTAAAAAAAGATAGATTTAGATAACAATCTTACGCCCGTTTTTTAAATTTTAAGTGATAGGACTAAAAACAAAAATAAAAAGTCCAAAGAACTACATATTACAAAAACTAAACTATATACATTACAAAAAATATGTTTTTTTGTTTAATTGATTAAAAATAAAAGAAGTTTTAGTTAACAATTAAGCTGCAAAATTGCACATGTTTACTCCGTTTAATAACATTGTCTTTATATTTTATTGTGCGAGTATATGAAATAGATTTGCAAAAAATTAAAAATAGTAAAAGTAAATAGTAAAGAAAAAGAAATACTGCATTGTGGAGCTTACGCTTTTACGGCACTTTATTCGGAAATCATTTGTGTACAGTGTAAAGTTTATATAAAAAACACTTTTTAGTTCATAATTATAGTATAAAAGATTTTCGTGTTTTTTACAACCAGTTCTGTTGAAAATAGCCAATTTCCGCTATGGCCGTGCCATCACTGATGTAACATGCAGCAACATGCACAACAGCAACATGTAGAGCAGCAACAACGACAGTGACACACCGAAGCTTACACCCCCCACCCCTTTTCCTCTCTCCATTGCTCCGTTGCTCCATTGCTCCTTTCCCTTTACATTCCATTTCTGAAGCTTTTCGCTTTTCGCATTTCGCCCGTCTCGCTCTCACTTTCAAGCGCCACACACATACACAAACGGGCGCACAGTCAAGGTCAAAGTCTTAACACCTATTCAACATTTTGTGCTACCGTGAGATCATAATGTATTTGTTTCCTAAAATCAAATATATCGATGTTTTAGATATAAGAGCGTTTAACAACTCTTTAAATCTATAAAAAAGTTCTGAAATTTTTTTTTTTAATATTTTTAATTTAGATCGATTTTCAGACACTTTCTATTTCCCTAATACAAATCAATTTTAAGTTACCTTACTAAAAAAACTTCAAAAAATCTACAGAAATTATTCGAATTGAAAGAATTTACAGACGAACTTTTATGTAATGAACTTGTTTAAATGTAACTTCTATAAATCAAAGACTTTGTAAGTAAAACTAGTTTAATAGGCAATAGAGCTAAAAAAAAACAACAATTGTATAATTATATTTATAACTTCAAGACACCAGTTTGTTTCTTCAGATATAGTGGTCCTATCATTAATATTAATATCACTATAGGTATGACCGCTGCTGTGTTCTTTTTACGTGTGTTTGTGTATGTTGAGCTGGCAATTTTGCTGACGTCGTATTCGCTGGCTGTGTGCCGCAAAATCCAGCCACAAGCAACAGGACATCAAGCCCGCTGAGCTCTTACCTCATCCCCCTTCGGCCCTCCCCCCTATACTCCTGGGCAACCCCCGCCCTAAAACGACCCCCCCGTGCTCCGTGCTTACAAGTCTGCCCCAAATTTGGATGAAAACATTTCGGTGTAATTCGTGGCCCACTGTTGCTTCGCATTGAGTTTGCGCTTTGGCCATGTAACCCGCCACCTACCACCCTGCTCCAACCTGCTCCACCCCACCACCCCCGCTGGAGCCATTAGAGGGCCCAACATAACCTGCTCACTGCGGATTCGTGTGTACCGAAATATTTCTCAATTACGGTCTCAGGTGCAGGCGACGCAAAGTGTTGGCAAAGCGGGATTCCTGCCCAGAAATTTTTTGGGGGCACGGGAATCCAGCTGTGCAGCAGCAGCAGCAGATGAGTGCTGGTTTCCAGGGGGGATTTTCTAAATATATGGAATGCTGCATTTTTCGAAACTTCCAAATTAACTCACTAGAAATATTTGACATAGAATTTGCTATAGAACTAAGCATTTAATTTACAAAAGGTTTTCTCTGAGCAAAAATAAAAATTAACCTAAATTAGACAATGAGAAACCTAATTGAATGCACACTTTGAAATTTGTTACAATAAATTCCCTGCAAAACTGACAAAAATCAGTTTACTAAATCATTTCTGTTAAATTAGTTGTCACTGGTAATGTTGGCAACCAAATTTTACAAATATTTTGTAGAAATATTTTTTGACTTAAAAATTGAAATCTTTTTTAAAAAGTCAATAATTTTCTATATTTTGTATGTACTCAATTTTGCATTATTTCAAAGCAGATCTATAACGGGTATCAAATTTCCAAAAAAAAAAACCCAAAACACAACATCATTTTGGCCAAGTTACAACAAAAAACTTAACCCCAAAAACCCTTTTGAAGTATCGGTTTTTGTATCAAATATGTTTTTAAACCCATTTTGTACATTTTATAAAAAAAAATGTCTTCAATATTGAGTCAAATAAATCAAAGAGTAGATGTGACTCACAAAACATGGAAGTACACATATAAACGTTATCAAGCCTGAGAAAAATTACGGATTGCTTTCTTGTAAACATTTTACATATTTCCTTTTATTTTGTTATCGTTTCGACATGGTTTTTCGGTAAATTATACATTGATCGTTGGTTTTTTTTGGGGGGGCTTTTTATGTGGCTTCGCTTGGAACATAAGATATTCGTAATATTCATGCGTATGCTATATGTGGTTACAATTTTGGGTAACGTAATACTCTATATGCTCGGGCTCTATAGGTGGCGTCTCTACACAGACGGGTATAAATATATATGTAGCTTAGCTTGATTACGATAGAATATATTATAGCGAGAGTTTCTGCCTTGCTCTACGGGTTTTACTTCTTTATAGTGTTTTTTCGTCGTGATGGATCAGTAGATCACTTGTCGAATATGTGTATCAAAAATGTGGCCAAAATTTTGGTTGGACTCGACTGACTTGCATATCCCTCTCTTTGTTTTCCCCCAGTCAAGTGTAAAATATATCTCTCGCTGCCTCTTTCCCTCATTCTCCGTCTCTTTCTGTTGCCTGCCAACTCCTTCTCTTTCGTTATGTGTATAATATATATATATACATATATATATATATATATATATATACGTTTTAGCGCTTACAAAAATATCAATATTCAAAGAAGCAACAAGAAATCACATTAAGTTTTTTTTTTGCATTTTTCGATTTTTTGACGATTTTTTTGTTTATCGTTTTTCATACACAAAAAGCGTGCTACTCGCATTAACTTAGATTCCACACAAAGTGTTTGCTCTATATAGTTCTATATAAGTTGTATATAAGCCCAGTGGAGGGATTTTTGGTGCGCCTGCACTTACCAAAAAACAACGAAAAACTGGATAGAAACTAGGTAGTTTTGCCTGAGAACAGCAACGAATCGGTTTCGATTATAACAATATACACGGCTAACACATTCCGAACTCTATATTTATGCTTGGGTTAATATTTGTATAAATATTGGTTTAATATATATCTATATATATTTGCGTTGCATATTAATTCTGCTAATACAAACAAACTCAACGTTTCGCAGCCGTCAATAACAAATTTCGTAACATATGTATGTATTTCTGTGGGTTTTCGTGTGTGAGTGTGTGTGTTTGTGTCGGCAATTGTTCGATTCACCTATAGATATAAAACCCCAGGATCCACCTGTCGGGCCACTCAAATACAAAATGTTTTTTCTCAATGCTTGCAGCTACAAAGGAAAAATAGTAGAAAACCAAATCGACTTAGCGAACAATTGCAATTTGATTCAGGGGTGCCATTGAAAAGCTCTAGAGATTTTAAATCTCCCGAAAACGAAATCAAGTCCTTACATTTCTATACAGTTTTTTAAGCAATTGCAAGTTTCCACTTCAATACTTTCAAATGTTTCAAAACGCCCAATGATTTAAAAAGATTTTAAACACCTCACTAGAGCTTTTCACATCTTCCCCTCGAATATATTTTAATATAGGTGTGTGTATATATAATATATCTGATCATTTGACAAATCAATAACATAACATTAACAACAGTTGGCCGCAGTCGCAGCCGCCCAGCATTGCCATATATAGACGATATCTAATACAATATCCATATACGTGATCCACCCCCTGGTTCTCTCGAAATATACAAAACGTATAAATATGCAACTGCCTGTATATAATATAATCGGTATATGCATGTATATTGTATAAGTATAAATAGTTTATCTTTTTTTTCTTTTACGTTGTTCGTTTTCCACTTGATTTTCTCGCTTTTGTTTTTCAGGTCACTACAATTTCCTTAAATTTGCTAAATTTCTTTAAGCGATTCCCAGCCGTTTCCAAAAAAAAAAAAAAATATATATATATATAAATATATATATATAAAACCATTGCGGATTACGGGAAACCTCCCTAAAAAACCTCGACGAGAACCTCAGCTAATTGCAATCTCTAGGGTGCATTGTATGTTATATGGTATATGGTATATGGTATATGTTATATGGTATGTGTTATATGGTTTGTGGTATATGGTTTAATGTATATGGTATTTGGTATGTGTTTGGTTATGTATCCCCCAAGCGTTTTTTAACTCCGATTCTACGATTCTATGCTCTAGGTGCTAGCTACTTAGTACATCGCATGCTCAATACTGATCGGGAACTGAGGTCTCCAGGAACTGACGATGGATGACTGATGACGATGGCTTCATCTGCGTTTACTTGTTCTCGATGATGGTCTGCAGCTGGAGGACCAGACTCCTGGACAGCTGCAGGATCGACTGGGCGTTGTGGCGCTCCGCCATCTCTGCAAAATACGGATATTATTAACTAACTAACTTTATTTATTTACAGTACTTAAACCACAAAACGAAATTATTAGACACTTTTATTTAAAATGTACTTTTAATGCATTTTTTCAGAAAAGGTGTTTTTTTGGGCTAATTCATTACATTCTATTGTTAGCGATGGCAAGCGATTGATTTTTTAATTAAAAAAAAGAAAACCAACAAAATGTTGGTGCAGAAAATGCCTTTAAAAAGTAATTTTATATAAAGGCTATTTATTATTCATGTACAATTCTATATGAAAAGATTTAAAAAATGTTAAACCTTTTTCAAAAATAATTATAGGTAAATAGCACGAATAATATCTGAACAATTGTAAAATATGTAGTTATAAATATATATATTTTATATAAAAAAAAAGTAAATGCAGTCAGCATTTATAAATGCTTAGATAATTGTTCTTACCATTGAAGAACTTGATGACATCGGTGAAGTCCATGCTGTTGGACAGGATGATGTCGCGGTAGGTCTCCAGCAGGGCCAGGGCCAAAAAGAGGACGAAGTGGCCGGAGGCGATGTGCTTGGCCGCCCAGATCACCTCCCAGGTGGCGAAGACGTCGTCGTAGACGAGCTCCCTCTTGAAGTCGAGCAGGAACCAGCGGTAGCAGAAGTAGAAGTGCGTGTAGTCGCCATTCGAGTCCATCAGGTCGTACATCTCCGAGTCGAGGATCTGTATGAGGGATCTGTATGGCACCAGCGATTAGTTCAACCGAATTACTTGTATATAGCTAGTTATGATGTTATACCCACCGCATGTTCGCAAAGTGCATGTCCATGGCCCCGCCGCTGGGGAAGTTCTCGATCATGCGCTCCATGAGCTTGCAGAAGCAGCTGTAGCTGAGCGACTCGTCGTCGAAGATGACCAGGAGCGGAGCCACCAGGTCGCACATGCCCTGCATGTAGCCCACGTCCAGGTGCTCCCACACATACGTGGAGATCACGTTGCGCAGCTTGTCCAGGTTCTCGTTGGCGAAGTACCAGTAGTTCCTGTCGCACCGCTGCACATCCTTCTCGATCCGGTGCAGATTGAGGCCAAACTGTTCCAGCAATTCGACGCTATAGACACCGCCATTGGAGCTGGCCGGCGATACGCAGGCGGACTTGGGCTCCTGCAATGCGTCCAGTGAGGCCACCACCGTAATGTCCTCGTTGAGGGGCGACATCAGGCTGGTCTTCCGCGAGGTAAACTCCTCGGTGGCATCGTCGTCCAAAGCGTCCAGCGATGCTGCCTCGGTTATTATCACCGCCGTGGCCGGTTGCGATAGTTCCTCCTCCTCCTGCTGCTGCTGCTGGCTGTCCAGCCTCACATCGTCGGCGCTGTGGAACTTGCTCAGCTCACCCGGCGGCGGCAGCTCCTCCTCCTCTTCCTCCTCCTCTTCCTCATCCTCCAGCTTGGCCTCCGCCTCCGCCATGTCAACGAATTCGTTGCCCACCGTCTCATAGCTGCTCGTCGAGGGCGAACTCTTGATGCTCAGCAGCAGGATGTTGCCGCTGCCATCCAGACCCAATCCCAGATCGTTCTCGTTCTCGGAATCGGCGAAACAATTCTCCTGCAAGCGCAGCGGTTCCATGTTGTCTATGTTCTGGAACTCCAGCACCAGTTGCTCGCTGAGTCGCGGCATTCCGCGGTCCTCTTGATCCTCATGCTTTTCCACTAACTCCTCTTCTTCTCCTGGATTCTTCTGCTCCTGCTCCTGGTCCTGCTCCTGCTCTTCGGCTTCCTGGCCCAATGCTGGCTCGTCGAACAGATCCCCTGGATCGGATATATCCGAAAAGTCATTGTCATCGAATACATCGTTCTCGCCCTCGTCCAAGATGATGTGTTCCTGATCCTCCTCGCCATTTCGTTGCTCCAATTCCAATTGGCGACTGCCGTTGGTGAGTTTCTGTTGGGGCGTGAGGGAGTTCGAGGTCTGGGCCGCCAGGCGTGCCTGCTCGGCACTTAATTTCGCCACTGCCAGAGCCGTTTTCTCCTTCTCCCGCTGACGCACAATGGCCTCCACCGCCAGCCACTCGCTCATCGTCGTCTCGTAGTAGTGCTTGCACGTCTCGTCCTGCTGCCGGCGATCCTCCGGCGTGGAGCCGAAGGCATAGTGGCCCAGCAGATAGGGCCACACATCCTTGCGCAGATCGGGCTGCACGCCACCGAAGTAGACCAGGCGATAGAGCTCGAGTTCGCCGGTGACCACGCCATCCTCGTGCATCGCCAGCCACTTTTCGCGGGTCAAACCCTCCTCATCGGCAGCCACTAAAGGGAAAAATTCGACTATTAGTTGGTATTCAATAAATTAAATGATCAAATTGTCTTAAGAGGTGCCCTCTTTTGAATGAAATACCTTAATAGTTGTGCTTATAATAATAAATAATGCTATTTTTAGTTATCTTTTCTTGTTTCGATCATGTCTGAAGTTGTTTGTATATAACCATTACACTTAAAGTGCTTTAAAATATAAATAGTGGAGGTTTTTTAAAACAAAATAAAGTATAATTCTTTAAGTGATTGCTTAAATTGAATTATCCAACAAATAAAATCAAAATTAAGCATAAATTATAAAATCTGGAGCTATATCAAACTATATTCCGACCTAATGGGTTTTTTTAAAAGTAATATATTTTCTAGTAGAAGATGTAAGAAGATTCTCAAATGCAGTGAATTAATTAATTAATTTAAAAGTTTTAGGTAATTTTGTAGCGTTTCTTAGGTTGATAGATATCTTTTGATATTTTTATTAATTGGCGCTAGTTAAATACATAAATATCTAAACATATTATCTATAATCTGAGAAGCTCCCAAAATAATACGGATTTATATGAAATTTAAAAATGCTTGAAGTATTTTTAAAAAGTTTATAAATTAGATTGTCTAGAATTTTTGTATTTTTATTTGCATTCTTTTATTCGGGGACCTATAATCACAAAGCGATACAGCTTTGGTTGGAGTTTTCTCAAGTTTGGGGTTACTTTATATGTTTATAAATATATTTTTCTGGTTAATAGAATTTCCCAGAATAGAAATGACTTACGATCCGGCATGATGCGACCGTTGACCAGGCCGGACAAGTGGGTGCGCACCGTGGAGAGGTGGCGGCAGTAGGCCAGCCAGCCGTAGAAGGCCCTCGAGATGATCTGCCTGCGCATCGTGGAGCAGACCAGTTCGATGCTGGTGCTCTGGCTGGCCTGGATCAGTGGCGTTTCGCAGCTGCTCTGGTCGATGGAGAGGCTCTTGCTGGAGCAGTCGCTGCTGCCGGTGGTGGAGCAGCTGCCCAGATGTTTCCGTCGCGGACTCGACCGTCCCAGCTCCAGGATCGGATGACTGGCCACTGGAATGGATACAGGATTTGGTATGGGCAACTGCCTCCTTTCTGTCTACAGTTGCGGTCAAGTGAATAGCAGCTTTCTAGCTTATGGAAATAGTTTTTGAGCAACTTTTCACACAAGTTTGTACATTTTCTTAAAGCTTATACCATAAACTAAATGGGACAAGCATAGAAATCTACATTCATTATTGGTGCAGTATTTTTAAATATTTCTCAAAAAAGATTTGTTAAATAAATGTTTTTAAATTTAAAGTTTAATAAATTGAGCAGACCGTCCATCGTAATAGAACCATTTAAAGCAGTATATTGAAAATTTTATTTCAAGGAATTATCAACAGTTTTTAGAGTCCTTTAAAATTGAAACTACAATAGTTTTTAAACCAAATTTTTTGATAAATAACAAGAAAAGTTGTCCTATGCCTTGAAGGTACTATTACTATTATTTTGACCGCAGGTGATCTATACTCACGGAACTCCTCGTGCTGGCACTTGCTGACCACGCGGAACACATAGTCGATGGGCGTCTCGTCGGCCGCAGAGCCACCTGCCTCCATCACCGAGGGCAGGATGTGACGCCGCACACTTTTTGGCCACGGGAAGAGCTTGCCAATGCCACGCTGCGACCAGAGCGGTGGATCCAGTTGGCCGTGCGGAAGGAGACCCGTTTCCAGGCAGCTGAGGAACGCCTGAAGGTGTCCGCCCTCGGGGAAATGAATGGGCGGTCGCTGGACGCCATCCTGACCCACCAGGATGATGGTGCCGCCAGTGTCGCCACCGCGATTCTGGTGACAGTGCACATAGACGATCTCGTCCACGTTGATGTTGAGGGCATAGCTCCAGTAGAAGCTCTTGTCGCCGCCATCGCCGTCGTTGTAGCCGTTCATCAGCTGGTTCGGTGTCCACTTGATCGTCAGCGATTGGATGCTCTGGTGCAGGCTGAGATAGCCGGGCATCGGCTCGGACACATCCTTGGGCAGCACCAGCACGTTGTTCTTCCCGTAGAGCAGCGTGGTGCGCGAGTTCTGGTGCAATGACTCCACATAGTCCTTGGCCACGCTCGCCGGCGAGCAGGCCTTGAAGGAGCCGCTGCTCGTGTCCTCCGAACTGGTGTGCAGGCTGCGCTTGAAGTTGATGATGGGCCGGTGGGTGGTGGGCGGCGTCCGGTTGCCCGAGCTGATCCTGTGCCGCTGCACCTGGTGGGGGAAATGGTTCGAATAAATATTCAGTCATTTCTTTGTAGCCCACTTCAAATAAATTAAAGCAATGTTATAGCAAAGAAAAAAAAACAAATTAAAAATGATCATTGTTCATTTATAATTAAAAAAAAATATTGGTCAGTTACATTTGTTGTTACTTTTCTATAATTACGATATAGTGTAATACAAATAATCATTAGTTTTGGTTAAAAAAAAAAGCACCAAGCCGCAAAATTGATTGAATAATAACATTTGGTTGCTTTTAAGATAATTTTTTTAAAAATCAAATATTTTTAAGCACAATGGAATAAATATCGTAATAAAGAAACATGATCATTGGGGAATCCAACACATTAGCAAACACATTGACTACCAGATGGTACAATTATTTTTTTGAATAATAGTAATGTTTCAAAAATTATAAAATTAATTCCTAAATTAAACTCGAACTCGTACTGAAATAACGGATTACGATATTTAATATTTTTTTTAAATTTGAAACTAAATATTTAAAAGACAAATGCGTAACATATCTTAAATATAAAACATTATATTCAAAATATTTAAGGTTTTCATACAACAAAGTTTTAAACTAGTTCGTAAATGTCTAATTTTGTAGGTATATTTTTGCGCTTTCTTGTTTTAACTTAACACCTAACTTTGGTGTTTACTTTGTATGAAAGGGCAGTTTTTGCCAGTAGTATTCTACTCACCAGCTCATCGGCACAGGGATCGGACCAGTAGTGGTCGGCGGTCTTGGCCCGTGTGAACTCCAGGGCACAAGGACCCACCAGCAGAGAGCTGAGGATGGAGCCATAGTCCGGATCGGCGACCAGCGCCTCGCGATCGTAGTAGCTATTGGCATTGCTGACCAAATGCTCGATAATCTTGGCCAGCCGTTTCTCGTAGAGGGCCAGTCGTATCCACAGGTATTTGCCAAGTGGGGCAATGGCTCCAACTCCACCTGCCCCGACCCCTCCGGAGCCCGATCCCGTTCCATTGGAGACCATGTTGATGGTGGTCACCGAGTTGCTGCTCCCGCTGCCCTTGCTCAAAAGCTTTGGCTTGATGATGCTATCGCTGCTGGAGGAGGAGCGCTTGCCGCTCACCGCATTCGACTCCTGGGCCAGTTCCAGTTCGAGGAGTCGCCTGCTCACGTAGTCCGCCTCCGGGCAGATCTTGGCTATCTTCTGGATCAGCGCCGTCGTCGAGGAGGTCTTGAACAGACCCAGGGCCCTCCGCCGCAGACCATGACTCAGACAGGCCTCCACGGCGCCGCACAGCGAGGTCACCGAGCTGCTCTCCTCGTGGACATACTTCTTGGTCACCGCCTCCTCCATCAGCTGCTTGACCTCCTTCTTTACGCTGGCTATCAGCCGCTCCTTCAGTTCGGTCTCCGCTGGAAAAGGGCAAATCCAAAATAACATATTACAAATCATTAATATTTTTAAGATATCACTTTTTTATGATTAGAAAGTTTTCAAGAAAATTGTTAAGAGTTTTTGTTAAGTAATGTTAAGAACCTTCTGTAAACCATTATATAATTTTTCAAATTAATCTCACGTGGGCTGCTTACAATAAATAATATTGAGTATCATTTAGTTTAATAATAAAATAAAATTGAAAAAAAGGGTTTAGCGATGTGATGGGTTAACAAAAATGAAAGACACTCGTGTCCTCGAAATTGTAAGTTACTTATTTGCCTGCGTGTGGTTATTGTTAATCCCTGGACCTCTCCTAACGACCGACATGACACTTCCACGCCCATTTCTTATTTCCCCACAGAGCACTGGTAGCAGAGCCCCAATAAATATGCTTTGATTGATTGCACATGCCGGAGTGCCACCTCCGGATCCCGCCGAATCCTGGAGTATGTCCAGTGTCCAGTGTCCAGTGTCTAGTGTCCAGTGTTCAGTGCCCAATGCCCAATGCCCAATGCCCAATGTGTTGCCCCCAACTCGTTTGGGATTGCGTTTGCTCTTGGAGTCCACGGACCGACGTCAATCATTTTGTCATCGCTGTCAATTTTTGTTTCGTCGGCTTCTGTGCACAAAATTGTCCCTATGCTTCGCTGCCCCCATATAACAACATTTATTAGTACATAAATAAATGGCCACATACAGTGCGTATGCGTGATGTAGAAACGTTCAGATCAATAGAACTCAAAACAAAGCCTATTTAAAGTTAAAAAAGAAATTTTTTTTTAAATAAGAAATATTGCCTATAAACTAAAGGTTTATTATTAAAATATGGTGTATGCCATTTTGATTAGCCGAAAAATTCTGATAATAAATCCTAACAAATATTAAGAAATATTAATTTTTGATGGCTATCAGAAGAATTTTAATGTTTTTACGTATTTTGGTTATTTTTTTATTTAAAACAATAATTACAATTACAATACGGTATAACCTGTTGCACGTCGAAATTTGAAACGTCAAAAATATGAGAAATACCAAAAAGGTTTTTTTTATTAAAATTTTATTAAGATTTCTTAGAATCTAGACATCTTACAAGCACTGTACACGTATGTAAATGTCCTGGCAGTGTTCTATGTACAAATATGCTAATAGGATAAAGCGACCACGAAGTGGGGAAGCCCAAGAAGAAATAAGGGAGCAAAGAGAGGAAGAGAGGAAGACGAAAGGCAGGGCTCGCTTCTAATTAGAATGGAAATAAAGGATTTACGCCGCTACGTGACATGGCCCGCCAATGTCCAGGACCCAGTAGCCAGGACCCAGGACATGGGAGCCGGAACCCAAAATCGATAAGGGAAGGTTTTTAAAGAAATTGCAAAAGTTCTGTAAACAGTGAGAAGCGGCCACGGTGCAGCTTTAAAAAGCAATCCCACCAGTTCTTTTAGAAAATTTAAGTTTATTAAATTATATAAAGTAATTAAGCAATTTAGTTATTTAGTTTATTTGGAAACTCATTTTACATATAAAATAATTTATATTTGTCAAAATGTAAAAGTAATTTAAAAAATATAAAAGTGTCAAGACCTAATATTTCAGTTAAATCTGAAAAAAAAATCTTAAAACAGTGTAGTTGTATTTAGACAATACTCTTGAATTCATACAAAATATAAAATAATTTAAAGAAATTATTTGCATTTTCAAAAAATTTATAAAAATTTCATTAGTATTTCTGAGCTTATAAAAATGTGACAAATTTTGAATAAAAATGCTGGTTACAAAGGAATTAATTTAATTGTTGTACACTGAAATATTTTACATTTTAAATGAATCCGAGAAATACTTTAAACAAACATTTGTAGTAAATTACATATTTAAAAAGAAACAGGTATTTAAAAAATTAACCCTTTGCTATAAATTGGTTAATATTACCCTAAGTATTTTTTTTGTCACTTTCAAAGTATCTAACATACCGGACTTGGCCTGTAGTAACCACATTGGAAATGGTCGAGAAGGCGACAGGAAAATGTGAAGTGCATTCGGGCAGATCGACACATGCACTAAGTTGTTTATTTTCAATTCGCACTGCAATTCCAGTGAAACATTGCAATAAACAGGGTGTGTGTACATGTGTTGTGGAGCAGTAGAGCAGTGGTATTTGTGTATGCGCATTGTAACCTTGACTGGATGCTAAAAAACTTCCTTGAATTCTAACCTATAACAACAGAGCGATGCGGAAGAGAGTGAAAGAGAGGACTAGGCAGCGGCAACACCTGCGACGCTACCCATACACACGCACAAACATGCACAATCGTGCACGCACACACTGACACTTGACCCTGAACAACATCAAACAGCTGATGACAGGACGAAGGGCAGAAAGAGACGACAAATGAGACGCTGAAAGGCGATGCCTCAATTTCTCTCTCTCCCTACTCTCTTTTTGCAGAGAGGGATGGCAAGTGTAAGAGTGTGTGTGTACGCTCCTTCTTTAATTTGTTGCCTGTAACATAATAACAACAATGAAGACATGGGAGGGTCCCTCACACACGCACACACATCATAAAATCCCATGCCAGGGCAGCCATATTGCTCAAACATATGTTTGTTATCCAACAAAAGACGCAACACACACGTTTACCCGCATGTGTGCGAGTGTGTGCACAGGAAAAAACAACAAATAAAACGTGGATTTAATAAGCGAAAGAATGTGCAAATGGAATTGCAAAAGAATTTTTTGATTTGGCATTTCGCAAAGTACATACTGTGAAGACAGCACTTTAAATATCTATACTGTTCTTAAAACCATTTATATTTATATTAATTAACAGTGTGCAACAGTGCGTATACGTCATAAATTATTACTCATACGTAGTGTGATCTTACAGATTTTACAACTTTGTTTTTAACTTTTTGCCATTAGAACCTATCTTTGAAAATATAGGTGGGAAATACATCTTACTACTCAAAATAAAGTGTCCAGTTGCGGAAATAATTTTATTCAATGCTCTGCCCTACAATGTATGCTATGATTTTTATTTCTCAATTTTCTTCTTAATCATGTTATAAATATTATAACTTCTTATAAATTGGCAGCGGCATAGCAGCACATAATGCACTGAAAAAAATTTTGATATTGTATTAGGGATTATTTATGTATATACCTTAAAGTTCGCGGCTTACTTTTCAATTCATCTTTTATTCTGTTTTCATTTTCAATTTAATTAATAATACCAGATGATAGTATTCTCAGACAATTTAAAAGCGTTAAACGCGATTCTAAAAAAAATGTAATATCAAAGTTTCGAAATGTGCAATTTTTCTCAAAGAATTAAAATCGAATTAGGCAATGAATTTTTGATCAGTGTCTGCTACTGAACGGGAATATCTGAGCACCCCCGAATGGTAAACGTGAGAAAAGAAACCCGGAAATTGTGCGCGCTTCTCTGATTACATTAATTGGCGGGCAATTTGATGACTTTCAAATGAGAGGGCAGCCTGTAGGAGAGGGTGTGGTTTGAAGAACTAGCCAGGCGTAGTCGCATTGAACGACGTAATGCAATTACCGGATCCGTCCGGCACTAAGGGTCGCTACTTACGATTTCTTCACGCCATACACGATATATATACGGCCAATTAGCTGCGCAGGAAGGTAAACGCAGGATGAAAAGCAGAGACAAACAGCGGATTAATGCCAAATTGACCTTATGGCCATGAACTTTGCATTTCGCATGGTCAGGGTAATTCCACTTAATTGGCGGTGGGTAGCAAAAAAAATGTCATTCAATCGATGCCAATTAAAGCGGCTTTTAACTGGAATCCACCTGAGTGTAATCTGCTGTCCTGCAACCATAACCGTTGTGCCGTTTAATTAGTTGCTTTGGTCAGCGAATCTCACAATTTCCGGTGGCATAAAATATGCATTAATCGCCAACCGGTCAAAGTGCATACTTTCAATTTTAATGAAAAAAAAAGGAAAAGAATTACTTATGTCCATTGTAAGTCAATTAAAATCAGATGTCCGTTATTGGAATGCGTGAATGCTTAACAAACCATCAGATAGATATCCAATCCCATTTTTATCCCATTATGAACAGTACAATATGAACAGTTCGATTTAACAAAGTTAAATAGTAAGACATTAAAGGAAAACGGTTTAGTTGCTTTGCAGTTTAAATTTAAAGTAAAATTGTATTTAAAAAACTTTATTAATTAATTAAAAAAATGTTCTAGTAAACATAAAAAATATATATGTATATATTTTAAGGAAAAATCAAATGTTATATTTCTCTAAATTCTGTATACCACTTGATCAAATGAGTTCACTGTATGCGAACAATCTTTTTTTCTTTTTCTCCTTTCCCTTTCTTTTCTTGAAGAAACGACACCAAATCATTTCACTTTCGCACCTTCTACGCATCAACGCCAAGAACAACATTTCACATACACAGACAGAAGTCCTGGCATTTTGGCATGCGTATGTATGTGTATATGCATGATATGTAATTGGTATTTGCTACTGTTGTTGTTGCCAAAAAAAGTACACAACACAAAATCACAGCTGCGCGACACATTTGTTTATTTTTTCAGATAATTATTATTGTTTTTATATTTTAAAATCGAAATCCAATTTAATTAAATTCATATATGTCATATTCTCACTTATCAAAATAAAAAACTGGACTCTGCGGTATAATAATATATAATAACAATTTAAATGCTGATATCTGGTTCTAAAATTGTAAATTTATCAAATGACTCCTTAGTCAAAGAATTTTTATAAATATAAAATATTTAGCTTTTAAAAATTATGGATTTCTGATAATTATATTTTTAAATAATTCGCTGGTATCTAAAAATGATTTGTGATCAGTTTTTCTCTGTGTGTAGAGAGAAGGAAAAAAAGGGAAGAGAGGAGAAAGAGAACCAGAACCAGGACAATAACTGTTTCTCACTCACCGCTGCTGACGTCGCCGCCGCTGAAACTGTGTAGCATGTTCATCTGAATTTGTATTGGTGGATGATGGACGCTCTCTCTGGATTTCTCTTTTCCTTTTTGTGGTATATTTCTTGGGGCAAATAATTTCTCTGTCTGCCAGCTGCTTATTTCTGTTGCTATTCTTTTATGTTTCCTTCTTTTTCCTTTGTTTCTCGTTTCTTGCCTCTTTCCTTTTTTTTTTGTTAACAAAATTTGTGGTATCAAAAATTTTCTTAGATTCGTTGTCTCATTTTGTTTTTTTTTTCGCTTTTGTTGTAGCCGTTGTTGTTCTGCTACATTTTTACTACTACGCAAGCACACACACCTGCACTCGCACACACACTTATATAACAACAACAGAGTGCGTGTGATGCTGCTGCTGTTTTGTTGTTGTTGATTCCTCTTTCGGTAGTAGTTATTCACATTTTTGCTGCATACTTTTCGGTTGCTCTCTTGTAGTGTATGTGTGTGCTGCGGCCTCCGCTGTTCTTCTTTTATTAATTTTGTGTTGTATATTGTTTATTGTTTCCTCTTTGTTTATTTTTGATTATACTTCTTATTGTGTCATTTATTGTTTTTCCGCCAGCAGCTTTTCCGCTCTGCTCCCCAGTGTGACCGCGATTGCAGTGTCGCCAAATTTTGCGACGACAGGGAACAGTGCTTCGAGTGTCTATCGTCGATAGGCAGGCACACCGATACCAGGGTTGCCAACCCAAAGTTCAAAATATATTTGTTTAGAGCTGGAACTGCATTATTTTAAACATTTTTAATGTCACTCATTTAGTTTATTAATCAGAAGAATCAAAATAAAATTGTATTTTACAAAATTAGCATTCATTTTGTTCTAAAGTTCAAATATACATATACTATTAATATGATGGGCGCTTGATTTAAAATGACACTTAACTCTGCATTTGAAATTCGATTCCCTCCCCAAGATTTGTCGCATATACAAATTGATTTGATTGTGTTTATTTGGGCAATTTAAGGCCTTTCAAAGGCTTAAGACACTGGCAAGAGGTATCCGGTTACTTTAAGCTTAAACTATGCGTGAATGTTTGCGTTAGAATGTTTGATTATTTTTTTTTTAAATGTGTAACTTTAAATTTGACGAAGGTAAGCTTTGAAAAGTCGAATATAGGAATATTAAACCCAATGAGGATATAATATACCGAAAAGTGATCAAAATATCTGGAAGATATATATTCGAACACGAATAAATTAAAAACTTCCTTTAACTGTAGATGTACTAATCTTATTTTTGGTATGGAAGTTGTGAAATTTACGTAGCTATGTGATGTGGGAAGAGCTTACGCCACCAGGACAGTATCGCCACAGGTCATGTGCAGCCCTTTGGCTTGCAAATCGTTAGTTATTCTGGTAATATAAATGCCGAATCGCATGCGACCGCTTTGCAAGCGGGAAATTGTGGTCAAGGTTTCCGGTGATCGTTCGCCGGTCCTTTGGTTAATGCATATCATATCACAGCGCTGGCAAGGACCCTCCACCTGGAACTGGATGCCCCCGATGGTGAGGGCCGTGTAGGTAAGTTCCTCGAAGGCACATCCCGTATCGATGATGATATTGGCCCGAAAACGATCGACAGTCTCGTCAAGGGGTTCCTCGAATTGAAGTGAACGCACCGACGATCTGTTCACCAGCAAAAACTGGGCTTGATTCACCAGACTCAGCTTCTGCTGATCCTTCGACGAGTTTCGCTGGCCCGATTGCCGTAGCAAACGGAGGCCCTCCAAGCCCAGATGTTGGCTTAACCACTGGGCAACCTCTTCGCCGCAATCCAAACCCTCCACGGGCTGTCGACACACCTTGCTGACACATTTTGCCGAATCGGCTGCCTGATCCGCCAGTGAAAGGGGCACTGAGACAGAGGAATCATCGCCAAATCGCAGCTCCAACTGGTCAGCTTTAATCACTGGCCTTATTAGGCACAATTCCGTGCAGCGTTTCTGAGTCAATGCCATGCCATTCATGTCCACTATCATCCATTCGCGATCATATTTCAGACCCTGATCCGTCAGTGGCCATGAGTCCTGCGATTCAACTTTGAAGGCGGCACAGGACTTCACCGGATATATGGCCATTTGGAGAAGTTTTGGCCTCAACTTCTGGACTCGCTCCTTGAGCACCGGTGGCAATTGCTCCGCCTGATCTTCGATGAATTGGATCCGCTGTTGCGGTTTAGTGGCCAGATAACTGGAGCGCAACATCTCGAGCAGCTTGTCCACGTCCTGAATGGTGGTCATGTAGCCAAAGGACACACGCACTGCTCCCGTTGGTTGGCCATCGATCAAATCAAAGTAATCACCGCATATGCGTCCCGCCCGCTTGTAAATCGCATCCATGGCATCCTCGTCCAGTTTAAGGTAATATTGACAGGCTCCAATGTTGCAGAAGCAACCTGTTCGCAGTAGGATACCATGTAGAGCCGCCACACAGGCTATCTCACCGAATCCCACAAAGGATCCCGATTCCGTGCGCACATTGAAGGCGACAATGCCACCCTGGCGGCATTTTTCCCGATAGCCCATCTTATTGTACAACTGGATGAGGGGCTCTCCATTGGCATGCTTTAGCTGTTTCAGCTGCTCCTCCAAGTACTTTGCCAGGCCATGAACGTGCCTGTAAATGGGAATTGTAAGTTTACTTTGGTTCCTTGGACTATCAAATAAGTTACCCACCTGGAAATCCTCTCCATGGTGCTTAGCTCCTCCGTTTTGGGCACCAATCTGTCCAGCGTGCGAAAGCCCTCGAGCAGTCCGACAATGGAGAGAAACGGCAGGGTTCCATCCTCGTAGCGCTGGTGGAAGGTCTCCCGCAGCTGATAGTCCATGGCATGCGGATAAGCATAGTTGATGGAGCCGCCGCCAAAGAATCGCCGTTTTCCAAAAGCCTCGGCCCCTCGTCGACTCACCAAAAGAGCTCCCACTCCCGTTGGATAGCCGAAGATCTTGTAAAAACTAAGGCACACATAATCGGGATGGTATCTGTGCAGATCCAAAGGACTGGTGGCCACAAAAGAGGCTGCATCCAGGCAGATATAATAGTTGTTCTGGCCATTCTCTATTTTCTCCTTACTGGGGCCCCAAATTTGTTTTCCCCTTATGGGCAAGCCATCATTTTGGATTTTTTCAATGACATCCATTGGGATTTTGTAGCCACTGAAGTTACATTGGGCGGAAAAAGTGACCAGAGAGTTGCCGGTTTTCGTGATTGTTTCTTCTTGAACTTTCCCCTTCCCATTGGCCAATTCGCCCGAGATCTCATTTTCCCTGAGCATATATATACCATTTGCCCGTACCCTTTCACGCATTCCCAACACCGAGGTATGATTCTCCTGGCAAAAGTGAAAGTCACCCGATGATCCAAAGTCAAAGTTATCCGCCACCAGGGACAAAGCTGCAGTGGCATTCGCCGTGAAGATCACATGGTAATCCTCGGCAGTGGTGTTGAAAAATTCCAATACCCTGAAATAAATGAAATAGATGAAAGTGTTAAATGTTTAATAAAATGTTACAATTAGTTTCGTACTTGAATAACAACAATACAAGTATAATAATGTTGTATACAAAAATTATATATTACATGCATAATTTGAAATACTATAAGCTAGATCTAGTACATATAGTCCATTAATTGTTAATTGTCATAATTTGAGCCATTTTATAAAACAAAAAAATGACAAAGTTAATTTGGGTAAAAAAGAGTGGTTGGTTCTAACAGAAAACAAAAAAGTTATTAATATTTGTGGTGGGGTTATGTATCATTAAGCTTCCAGAGGAATAATGCCACTTAACAATCGGTGCCTGATTATAATGACTTCCCCATTAACGTTTTGAGTCGTAATCTATATCTTTTGTTAGACCCCAATAAGGGCAGTCCAATGACAGTGGATTGGCTGCATTGTTGTTCCGTGATTCCGTGATTTTTGTCGGACACGGTTGGACTCACTTGAATCGCACCTGGTCCACAAAATCTCCGGTAAGGCGACAGGTGTGCGGATTGCAGATGACATTCCGATGCAGTTGCTCCGCGGCGGCTTTCACCTGGTTTTCCGCATATAGAGTGGTGCCCGCATGATCCAGGTAAACACTTTTGTTGTCTATCAGAATAGTTGGTTTCGTTATCGTTGACGTTTAACATTTCACCATCACATTGCCCACACTTACTGGCCAATCTAGAGAATTCCGCGTCGATTTTCGTTTGCTCCGAGGGAGAGAATTCCGGGCGATATGGCGACATGTTGTTGGGAACTGTTCGATTGTTGGCTGGGAACCGGCTTTTATTTATTTGCCATGAGACCGGCCTGCAATTAATCGCCGCATCTGTTGCGCCATACTCTCTCCTGCGAAAAACATGATAGTGTACATTAGCTATCGTATTTGCTTGGCCAAAAGCACATGTTATGTTATTTTTTTTAGATAGTATTTGTAATGCTCAATTAAAGCATTTTGTGCATGGTGGAAAATTATGAATAAATCTATGACCATGAATGTACATATGTATATTTACTTTACGTATATAATTGATTTTCTTGTACTTAATCACTCCTGCCAGGTTGTTTGGAAAATTACTTCCTTAAGTTAGACTTTATTATATTCTATTTTTTCCTAAATTATTTTATTTATTTTAAAGTTTCTTTTAAATAATTTAAAATTTTAGGTATCTTAGGGTATTTACTAGTTACTATGCTGCCTAATATTATCATGTATTTTAACTAGTGTTGGCTAATGAGTAACGATAAGATTGCTAACTCAGCTCACATTACGGCACTGGTCAACACTAACAGCTGTTTACTTTTTGCCTGCGTTGATTTTTTAAGTTTTTCATTGTAATTTCACAATTCTTATGAATTAACCAACTAATTGAGTGAAAAATGGAGAAATTTGTGCGGGACACGCTGTCCAAATGTCTGGATTGTGTTGTCACGGATCAGATGATGTCGTATGTATCCGATATTGCCAAATAAATGGGTTTCTCGTTTCTCTCAATGGGCGAAATTGTCTTGCAGAGCCATACTGAACATCAAAGATGACTATGAATTCGATAGTTATTTTGGCAACTTACTGAGCGAGGACAACGAGGAGCATCGCATGTTTCTGCTCAATTGCCGCCGCATGTTATTGAGTGGCAAACAGCCGCGCAATAATGCCAAAAGTCGCACGCCCACCAAACAGCTGCCGCCCACATCGCCGCCCAAGGGTAACCAAGCAAATCAGGGTCAGGGAGCCAAGGGAAAGTCCGGAAAGTATGTGAATCTATATGCAAGCGATGGACGCGTGCAGGGAGACACCATATTACTAAAAGGCCGGCGGCACTGCGACTGCCAGGCGGCGCAGCACAAGCTGATCAACAATTGTCTCGGCTGCGGCAGGATCGTCTGCGAACAGGAGGGCAGTGGTCCTTGTTTATGCTGCGGCGATCCCGTCCACACGACCGAGGAGGAGCAGCAGATGGCCAAGGCGGCCAGGGAGAAGTCGGGCACGAAAGCAGCTCCCAAACAGGGCAAGAAGTCCTCCAAAGAAGCCGCCAAAGAATCCAGCTCCAAGGAGGCATTGGACAAGGCACTGGCCCAAAGGGATCGCCTGCTGGAGTACGACAAAAACAGCGAGAAGCGGACCACGGTCATCGACGATGAGCTCGACTATTTCCAGGTGAGAATCATCACTAACACCATTCGCCTTTGAATCAATTCCAAAAATCATTTTCCTTACAAATCTATACACAAGTTAAGCTATGATTTTCTATGAGATGGGGTTTAAAATAACTAATTCAGTGACTTTAAAACTCAATGAAAAGTTGGGCAAAAATATTAAAAAAAAGTTTCTTAGCCAATTTGAGGTATATTTGATCATTTTGCCTTTTAAAATTTGTAAGATTTGCTATGCTAGACTTTTACCGATGTGGATTAAGGTTTTAATTTACAATAATAAATGGGGCAAATGTATAAAGAATATATTTTTAAATATTTTCCAATCTATTTTAAGGATATTTCATCATATGCACCATTTGCCATACAAATCTTTATAATAATCTTTTTAATAATATTAAAAAGTTAGTCATAAGAAACAAATATCTTGCAAATGAAGCTAACATTTGCGATGGAAAAAAGTGTATATTTGCTATAACCAATTTAAATAATTGCATTATTTATTTACTCACAACAATATTATTATTTTTTTTAGGAAAACTCCGTATGGCTAAGCGAGGTGGAGCGCGAAAAGTTTGAGAAGCTGAAGAGCGACATGCAGGAGATGAAGCATGGCAGCCGCTTGAAGCGCAAGATCCGCGTGGACTTTGCTGGCCGGGAATTGCCGGAGGAGCCGACCGTCTCCAAGGAGTACGAGCAGCAGGTGATCAGCGAACTGGCGGCTGTTACCAAAGCCTCGGGTGGCGCCTCCAACTGGAATGCTAACTCGATCACAGGACACTCGGCCATGTCACTCGCACCCAACTTGGACATGGCCAAGCCGCCTGTCTACAAGCCCAGCAAGGAGGCCAAAGGTTGGCCAGCTCCGGCAGCGGCGAGTGATGGCCTGGAGAGGATCTACAATCGGGTGCAGGACAAGGAGCTGCTCGAAATGCAGGACATGCGACAGTGCCTCTCAATGCACCAACCTTGGGCTTCACTGCTTGTGGCGGGCATTAAAAAGTTAGTGCATGTAAATTTAATTTCCCTGACACTAATTGAAAAACAACGTAGTAAATTCAAGTATTTTATACTTAATTTTAAATATTTTTCGCTTCGATTTTCATACTCATTGCGGTTTTTAGTTATGTTAAATGTAAATATATTTTTTTATATTTAATTTGTTTGTTTTCTGAATATGAATATCTAAAATATTTAATTTAAATTGAAACCATTTTAAGCTAAAGTACTTTACTTATATACTACTTAATCAAGCAATTTAATATAAATATGTTAATTAAAATTTTGAATTCAATAGCCAGATATTTAGTTATACTATACTATAATTTAACTTACTTTTCCAACAGACACGAGGGACGAGTGTGGTACAGTGAACACCGTGGTAGACTGTGGATCGCCTCCACCTCCAAGGAGCCACATGCCGACGACATTGCCCAGATGGAGGGCTTTTACAAGATGCTCTACGGCGGTAAGTCTAGAAATATGCACATTAATGTACTCCATTTTGATGAATGTATAATTGCCAGATCCCGACATCAAGTTCCCCAGTCATTATCCCACTAGCAGTCTGCTGGGATGCGTCCATGTGGACAGTTGCCTGCCGCAGGAGGAGTACAGGGAGGCGTTTCCGGATGGCGAATCGGAGAGTCCCTACGTTTTTGTCTGCACCAAGCCAGAGCAGCTGAATATACTACTGCCCGTTCAGGGTGATCACAAAATATGTGAGTTATTTGGATCAATTTGTAAAGTTCCGCATTAATCTTCTACAATTTCCAGACGAACTGCCACTAAAAACCCACACGGCCGCTTGCAAAACACTGCTTAGAGCCAGGGCCAACAAGGGTTAAGGATTTGGGGCTTTTGAAAGAACATTTGCATATAAATTCCGGTAATAAAATTAGGCGAAATTCAAAATGCTTGGAGTCTTAATAAAATATTAATTTGGATTTAAAATATTTAAGGTTTTTTTTTATATAAAATATAGCTGTGAAAAATAAACTTGAAGTCCGAAATATAATAAATTAACTAAGTTTATTTATTTGATTTATTTTATGTACAAAAAACTACATTTAATTTAGAGAAAAATAAGGGTATTATGGGTTTAAACATTTTTGTTAGATACATATATTGTTATTATTTTTGTTTATTACAACTTTGAATATAAATATTTTTTCAGTGTAACGATAGTTTTCCCAAACGATAACGATAATTTTGTGACAGCTGTTGCTGAAGCGCTACTTTTATTTTTGTTTTGATTACTTTTATGTAATGGTGAAGGTGGAAGTGGAATACTGGTAAGAGGCGTGGCTCTATTACTTACAAATTGAACTTAAATAACAATGTTTAATTATGCTCCAGTGGCATCTGCAACTTTAGCGGCCAGTGCCACCTGCTGCGCGAATTTCTGCTGGCCTCGTCGCCCGATTTGGACATATCCTGCCGCCAAGGACGTCGGGGATCCTTCGAGGTGGCCATCGACGGGCAGCTGGTCCACTCGAAACTCGCCTGCCTGGCTTTCCCCCAGCATGCCAGTGTCCTGGCTCAGGTTCAAAAGGCGGAGCGTGGAGAGACCGTCGAAAAGGTCATCGAACAGCCCATCAAGGACTGCAGTCTAATGTGAAGAGCTTTATTTGTGTCATAGCTTAATTATATCCTTAAATTATTAAAATATGTTGAAACAAGTGAAATGATATGATTATATTCGAGTAGGAATCATAGGACATCATCAAGAATAAATAATGACAAAACCTATAAACTATAAACTGCCCATCTAAGGAGATCGATCCCCACAAATATAAAATTCTTAAAAATAATATGGTAGTAAAAGCTTTTAGAATAATAAACAAAGAAAAAAAATATTATGAAACTAATAAATTTAAAATACGTAAATTGATTTTACACTTTGATTTCTTTTTGAATTTGAGCTTCGAAAAATTATTCAGAATAATAGAATAAGCTTTAATAATTAATCTAATTAGAAATCTGAAAACTATATAAATTAAAATAAAAAATTTTTATGTTGAATGTGTGATAATAATATTATGTGGTGCGATGATTTTCCTTCACTTTGTAATAAAATACAAATTTGTTGTCTACAATTTGTGTTCTTACATTTTATTTGGGCATAATATGAGTTTACAAAAAAAAATAAGTTTCGGGGAGAAGAGAAGATGGGCGCACATCCTTCACCGCCTGTAGCGATATCGCTTGAAGTGGAACCACAGCTGGAAGATGTTGTTGTGGAACTGGCAGCGGAATCCCCGCTTGTAGCTGAACTCCCACTCGCGGTTGACGATCTTGAAGGCGATGTCCTCGTACGGCGGTCCCGTGTGGAAGCGCAGCACGGCAAAGTCGCCATTGTCGGCACAGGGAGTGAGGAAGTATTGCGGCGTCTGCGATTTGTCCATGAGGTCCGGATAGAATATGTTGAACTTGTAGCCCTGGACGATCTTGGGCGGTGGATTGTCCATGTCGTAGTGCGTCTGATTGTACTTGTTCCACTCGAAGCCCGTGTGCACGCGATTGAAGTAGCGCGGCTTGCGCGGCCGATACTTATCGGTGGCCAACTGGGGCACTGCATCCAAAGTGGTCTCCACACTGAACTCGGCCTCGTCACCCTGCATTCCCTGGCGCGCCTCGTTGCGCATGCGCAGCTCCTGCGGCGTCAGATGATTGGTGTCCACGCGTTCCGGATGCAGGATGAGCAGGCGCTGCCTCTGCGTGCGCCGCTCATCATCATCCTCCTCGTAGAGGGCACCCTCTGCCTCCGGCTGGTCGTCGTCATCTTCGTTTTGCACTCGCCGGCCCGTGAAATCCTCCTCGCGTATGTAACGTGGACTGTAGTTACCGGCCTGGTAGAGACGCACTGCATCGCGCAGTTCCTTCAGCGGATCCTCTTCGTCTTCGGGCGGGCCGTCGCCATCTTCGGGCTGCTCCGCGTCCTCGGTTTCCATCTCCTCTTCCTTGACCTGCGGTGGCAAATCCTCCTGCGACGCCTCATCGTCGTTTTCCCGCTTGAGCAGCAACAGTTTCTCGCGCAACAGGGCCTGATGACGATCCCGCAGACGAGCTCTGGCCATGTGCGCCTTGAGTTGCGACAGCAGACTCTCCCAGTAGCTGATGTCCACGCCATCCGCTCGCCCACTGATCTTGGCCTCGATGCGCTGCCGCATCTCCTCCAGTTGCTGGGCATTCTTGCCCCTGAATATGTCAGCCACATCCTTGACCACCGCCTGGTGGATGCCATCCCTCCGCTGATTCAGCGATGTGCTCTCCGTCTGCAGCTTCTGCTGCCGCTGCAGTTCGTCCTGGACAATGGTGATCATGTCGTTCCAGAAATCAATATGCTTGCCCTGCTCCAGCTCCTCGTAGACCTTTATGTCGACCAGCAGATCCTCCAGTTCGTCCATGGGCAGGCCATTTAGCAGGACATAGGGCTCGTGCATTTGCATCTCCAGGGATTCCTCGAGTGGGGCATTGCCGGCGGCCACATATTGAGCGAGCAGATCGATGGGCTTGGCACGGCCATCACGGATGCGGATTTCGCTGCGCAGTCGAGCCTGTTCCAGGTGAAACTGGTCCTCCTGGCGCTGCCACTCGCGGAACTGCACCGCCTCCTTGGCGCGCTGCTGCATCATGAGATCATCCTCGCGCACCTGCCGCTCCAGCTCCCTTTCCTGTCGCCGTTTCTTCACCTTCTCCAGTTCCCGGCGGTTTTCCAGCTGCTTTTGCAGCGACAGCACCTCCACTGTCTTTGTGGAGAGATTGGACAGGCCCTCCACCTCCAGTTTCTTGCCCCAGTGGAAGGTGGAGGTGAGATTGGAGTCGCCGAAGGGGTTGTCCTCGTTGGAGTACGTCTGGTATTCGTTGTCCCAGCCCATCCGTTCGCGACGCCGCTGCTCCTTGGCCTGTTTTTCACGCAGCCGGCGGGCACGCTTCTCCTCGGGCGTTTCCTGGGCCTTCAGCTCGTCCTTCCTGCGCTGGCGATCTTTTTGCTCCACAAGGCGACGGGCTTCCAGGGTCTGGAGCAGCTTCATCGAACTTTTGGCCAGCGGCGAACGGCGGCCACCACCGGGCGCCGTGCCGGACGAGGAGGAACTGGACGAGGAGGAGGAGCTGGAGCTGGAGGAGGAGGAGGAGGACCTGTGCCTGCGGCTCTTGTGCTCCCGCTTCTTGTCCCTGCTGCTGTCCTTCTCCCGGCGGCGATCGCGCTCCTTGTCCTTGTTGTCCCTGCGATCCCGCTCCTTTTCCCGTTCCCGTTCCCGATCACGATCTCGACTCCGATCCCGGTTCCTGCGGCTTTTTGGATCGCGACTGCGACTGCGGCTACGACGGCGGGACTTGGTCGACTTCTCCTTGGGCATCCTTGATCAAATCCGTGTAAATTGTGAAATAAACAACAAAATGATGCAGGCGCAGTGTGTGGGGTTATCGATAGGCAGTGACAATCGAATTAACCAACACTGTTTTGCACTCTCATTAAAGTAAATTGATATTTAGATTTACTGAATATATTATGTATTTACCTAATTTATTTTTAACGAATTAAGAAGTACACCGGTTGCTATAATAAATATGATATTTTTTATACCGATATATTTTTTCACAAAATAATTCAATAACATACAGTCAATTTATAATGAAATTATGATTGCAATTTCAGAATACGTAAATTTCAAAAAGTTTAACAGTTATTCATTTAACTAAACTTTAAGTTTCAATTCCAAATGTATAAATTTCATTTTCAGAATTTAAATAATTTCTTGAACATTTTGGCGCGCTCCCAAATAAATATTCAAGAAATTTGAAAATATTTATTAGGACAAAAAATACTTTATGAAAATACAAAAAAAAATGGGGCTTGTTTGCTTTGAGAATAGCAAATCATTGGTAGATTTTCGCCTATTTGCAAAATGGAAAGCGGGCGAAAGTGCTGGAAAATGTGAAAGTTATTGCCACTCCGACGATCTGGCAACTCTGGTTTTCAGCACCTTGTAGTGTGCCTTTCAAACTGTAGAGATGGATAATCTTCGACAATCCTTTTCAAACATCGATAGTATCGATATTTTAAAAACATCGATGACATCGATGTTTCTCCACCTCTAACCTCTACCAAGCTGTTTATTTAGTCGTCTCGAACTCAAAAAACCGTAAATCCATAGAATTAAACGTGTTTGTCGAAAACGCCCAGCTGAATTGACTCCATAGCTGCAATTTGACGTTCGATTTGTGTAAAATATAAATTGTGGCAGGTGAAACACGTCGCCGTCTCGCTCGCACAGACCTCCTTGGTGGCAAAACAACAAAAACACCAGAAAGAAGCGGCGACGATGTGAGCGAGATTGATTTGATTGGGGGTGAAGGGAATAAAGGAGACGGGAGACGAAAATCAAAATCAAAAGATTCATCCCTTTTTTGCTTCCTCTCTCTTTCATCTCCTTTCTCCTCCATCAGCTGTGTTACTCTTTTTTACATTATTTTATGTGCTGTTTGTTTCTGTGTTTTTTTTTCGTACGGTTGTTTGGCCATCTAACGGTATTCCGTAATAAATGTTATTGTTGTCAGCCGTTTCGTTGTTGTTGCAAAATATTGCGTGTTCTCTCCTTCCCTCTCGCCCTCGTCTCATTTTAGCCTGCAGTTTATGCATGGATTCGAAATCGTGATTTATTCCAGATCACAAAAGTGATAATAAACAAATATACCGCAAAAAGTGCGAATTTAAGTGTGAAAATGTGATGGTGAATTAATCAAATTATTTACTTAAATTACTAAGTGTTTTAATGTTCCATAGCAGAATCTTCGTTTTACCAAGGTATTTAAAATAAAAATAAGATTTAACAATAAAGAAAGTACATGAAACGTTTTAAAACTTTCAAAGCAGAACTTTGTTTTAACGATGTCTTATAAATAAAGATAACATTTAACAATACAAAATGTATATGAGACTCATAAAA